TAACGGGGAAAGGGGGGCACAAAGAAATACTTTTCTTTCTTATTCTCATTTAAAATGTCTGCTTTTAAAAAATAATTATCTGAATCTTACAACAAACGATTGATAGATTGATGCATATATACCATCAGAACAGTGTACATCACTGTCACAACAGTGTTTATTTTCATTCAAAGGCTTTATGATTTTTCCTATAATGGTGGGCCGGTCTCTAGTCAAAATGCCCGGGCCAATTTTCTGTCCCAGTCCAGCCCTGTATGCAGCTCATCTGCAGTCTGGTGTTACCTACATCTTCCTATTCAGAAGGCAGAATTTCCGAGTTCTGAGTACAATCGAAAGCACCACGACTGCAGTTTTTGTGTTGGATGTAAAAGGCGCACATGACGCTGTGACGTAGGCTAGAATCATGGCAGCAGTCAATGACGGTCCAGGCGTGGGATTTCTCTCGTGGAAATATGCACATTATCTTTTCCTTTCTATTGGTAGGTGGCACAGTGCACTTGTGGCAAGTAAGCAATAGTACTACTTTTCTGTTCGCAGGTGTCCTGCTGTACTGATTTGGTGCAGTGCTGGTCATCTCTCGACTGTATCACAGTACATCCATGACTTTGAGGCAACGCTCGGCTCTATTAGCCAGGAGCTAGATTTTTTCAAGACTCGTGCCCAATGAGTCTCTGCTCTACGAGGAAGAGAACACTACGTACCAGGGCCCTGCCTACTATCCTGGAAAGGATAGCTAACAAACAATATGATTATGGCACTCAGAAGTCCAGAAAGTGTGCTGAGTTAAATATCCACAGTTATCTATCTCTTCCCTATATATATATATATAGGAATGTGCAGTTTAAGTTATTTCAGTTAACTATTGTGCATTGCATTTGCCAAATTGGCCAAATGCAGGTACACACGAAGGTACTGCCAAAACTCTGGTGCCCACATGAAATAGAGAAGGAAGAGTCTGTATGTTCATTGTCCAGAACAAGAGGGCATTGTGTCCATCAGCAATATCCAGGTAGTGACTCAGCTGTAGCCCTGCTCTTCCCCACATCCTTCTTCTGCTTCTTATACTAAGCAGCAAAGAGTCCTCCATCTTCACAGTCTTCTTGATGTTTCTCACCAGGAGTCACAGGTTGCTCTGACTTTGCAGGATCCGCAGCATCTTGCAGGATCAGATCTGGCAAAACAAATTAACAACAGCAAAAGAGTCTTTATTACAATTTTAGACAAAAAAAAAATACAGAAAAAATATACACTATATTCAGTCTTTACCTTTAACTTTTAATGTCACTTCTGTCTTTATGTCACAACTGCCCAACACATGGTGTTCCACCCACAACAGAGAAAATGCAGGATCCAAAGCAGCTGCTTTAAGGTACACTGGATGTGAAAAGGCAGCAGTGATCCCATCTTCTGCTCTAGCCATTTGCACACTGATAAAAATTCCAAGAAAGATGCTTGGAGACTCCTGACCAGACCATTCTCTGTTTTGATATAATTGTTCTGCAACATACTACCGGACTCTGTATTTTCTGTCAACTACTGGCAGAAAGTGTCGAAAATTCTTGTTTTCCACAATAGACAGTTTGCAACCAATATTCAAGTCACTTAATCATGCATTTGTGATAGCTTTCTGCTGTGGATGAGTCATGCTGTGCTGTCCAGCACAATTGTCCATAAACTGTGATATGGAAGGCTGTTCAGGTTCATTTATGATCCTCTTTTTCATCTGGTATTCTTCAAATATGCTTTCAAAGGTGCAGCCATTCATGAATTGCATTTGACTTTAATTTGTTCCTACTAATCGGTAATAAATATTAACACTTAAACCCTCATAGTTTTCAGAAAATAAAAAATATAAAAACTATTTATTAAAACACTTTTCTAAAAACTCTGCATAAAATAAGATAACCTTTATTAGTCCCACGCGTGGGAAATTTGTTTTGTTCTAATGCGTTCTAATAAGCAATGTTTAGCGTCAATGTTAAGAATAACTGACATTTTCAAATAAACAACAGCTAATAATATAAGATCAAAGTATTTCATGTGATGTATTGACATAAATGACAGGAGAAAAATGATGCAAAAGTTACACACGGACATGCATTAATTGCAAATTAAACACAGTGGTTTTGAATTTTGATGTGATGGTAAAATAAATATTTGTCAGTCTAAACTGTGTTAAATCTACGGGGTTAATGATGGGGAGGAGACGGAGACCAAGTTCCTCGAGTTCAGGTACAGAAACCCACTTTCCGAAACGGACCCTGCTCACCATTTACCGACAATTCTGAGCTACCAACTTGCATGTTATTCTTGGATGCGCTTGTAAGACCGGGTGTAAAATAGCATGACAAAAATATCATACATGTTGAAGCCAAACAGTATCATCAGCGTAGCCCGGAGAACAGTTGCTAATAAGATGAAGTTAGCTAAGTCAGCTATCTCATCATAGCAAAAGAAAAGCACCATGGTACCGTTCTTTATGCAACTTCAAATGTTGGACAAAGTTGGAAGTTGTTCCATCTCCGTCAGTGATTCTCTTCTCGCAGGTTTTTCATATTACATTTCGTTTTTTGTTGACTACTTCGTAGTTTATGTACTTGGGAGCATTTTTGGATTGAGTGTTTTTTTGTTTTGTTTTTGTTTTGTTTTTTTATCTGGTTAATTTGATTGGCTGTGTACAGCTCACGCTCACATACGTACGGAGTGTGGTAAGAGTGAATGAACAAAATGAGTTAATGGTCCGCACTTTTTAAATAATATGTATGTTGAATTTTAGTCCCAAGTCATTCGTGTAAAGTCCAAGTCAAGTCACAAGTCTTATAACATTTTTTCAAGCCAAGTCTAAAGTCATACAATTAATGACTGGAGTCCAAGTCATGTGACTTGAGTCTTCACCTCTGCAATCACCTGCTTTCAGTTTGCGTGTCAGAGGAGGAAAATAGCGCTGCAGTCTAGAGCCTGGACAGTTATTTTTTTAGTGCACAACAGGAAAAGATAAATGGTAAAGTGAAAGACTGCATCGAGGACAGGAAAAATTGCATCATGCTGCTAACACAACACGGTTTCAAGCATCTGCCCAGACAGCATGCTAACGCCAAGCTAGCCAAGAACCCACTGTGGTCAGATTTGTATTCCACTAAGAGACTGATCTTCGAGACATGTCTTCTCATTAGGGATTTGTCTTGGTGTGTGGGATGTTGCCTGGGGTTGATAGTGTTAAATAGTGATTATATGTGTTTCAGCTATTTTACAGAGTAACATGAATTTAATGTAATGTTACTCTGTGGAGTAAATAAGTCATATACTGGGTAATATGTGAAATAATGACTTTTTTGAGTAAAGACTCTGATCACAACAAAGGGGGAAAATACCACAACAAACATGCGCAAACATTTGACCAACAGCATTAATGTAATTTCTTAAAGATACTGGTGACTCTGAAAACATACCCAATGAGAACTTAATCTATAAGTGATATTGCTAATGGAATAGGAATCGCTAAATTCTTATCAATTCCCATCCCTACAACCAGCAGCTTTAATCTCCATTAGAAGTTTGAAACACTGATTCATATCTGATTCTGAAATAAAGTAACAATATTACTGCTGTTACTAGGTAGGGAGGAGGCTCTGTTAGGGAGGTGCTGAGTTGCTGGGCTGGATTTAGACCTTCAGCAGGGGTCTGTACTGATAAGACTGGAAGCAAATAACACAGTGTGACGTCATTTTCAATACTGGGTAACGTTTCAAAAAATAAAGATCACCTTGCATGGTGGATTGCCTGGGAATTTTCTGTAAAGATTGACTGTGATGGTCGTTATTAGATGTTAAGGACTGAGGTTGTGATCTCTGATTTGCCTATAATGTGTCTTACATACAAACCCCTGCGAATCACAGGCAACCTCCTTTTGACTGGAATAATGAATCACAAGTCAACAAGTCAACCTCAGAGAGCACATAAATGGATTTTAATGGATTAGCTGTCAGCAGCACTAACTAGAAAAAAGGAGCAGAGAGTGTTTACTAATCATGATGGGCTGTGCTCTCCGTGCAGTTATTAATAGCTACAAAGCAATGTCACTACCGAGGCCCCTGCCCCCATCCGTGGCTTTGTTTTCAGGCACATTCTTTCCATCTTTGCTTTTCTCCTAACCTACACTCTGAAAATAGAGGTGAGGCGCTTTTTTCACTTTTAGATTGACTTTGCTCGCTTCTCTCAGCACAACACAAGACAGCAGCTGCGTTTTCTGGCACATGATTAGGAGACTGAATTAAATAAACTCATGACACCGTGATGGATTTCAGTCGAGAACGGGCCCTTGTGAGAGCACAAACATCTCTATAGTGAGATGAAACCATGCCGCGCTACTCCATACGCTGGCATTAAACGGCAGAAACGCGTGCGGATCTAATTTTAGGTCAAAAGACGTGGCCCTGAATATTATGAAAGCAGAAGAAATAGACAGATGGGAGTGATGGAGAGCAGGGGGAATTAAAGCGAGGGTCGGAAAGCTATTTCAGGGATGACGTGTGATGGAGTGACAACTGTTGCCCCCCTCCCCTTTATCCCTTGTCAGCCCCTGCTCTTTTTCTGCCTCTCTCTATCAAATCCCACTCTGCCTCCCTCTCTTAACCTTAGGCCCTTCAGTGCCCAGAACTTTTCCAACCACAGACCCATCTCTCCATCAGCTCTCTGAGTCTTATGATAAATTTAGAACAGTGTTCCCAATGAGCTGTGGCCTGTGTGACACGTGCCACCTCCCAACCACTGCATGGGACCGTATAGTATATAAGGGCCGTGGGTAAAGGGCTGCAAGAGATTTGGGGGAAAAGGTTGATACTGCCTTACACAAACCAGGAAAAAAGAATAAATTGACAGACAGAAAAAGAAAGACAGTAAAGGTAGATAGAAGACCTGTGTGTGCAACTATAGCCGCAAGAAGAATCAACTCTCTCCGCCTCCCTCTTCTCTCCTTTTCACTCCTCCTCTGCCTTACCCAGCACTTACAGCCATCCATGAGTGTAACCAACTCCTCTGCCTATCGATCGGAGCGTAGTTTCCACCAGACTTCATCCTCAACTACGTCCTCTGGTAACCCATACATGGAGAAGAGCCGGGGACTATTTGCTGAGGACTTTGGCTCGTTCATGAGGCCTGGGAGCGACTCCTTGGGTTTTTCCAGTAAGTTGGAAGCAAATTTAAGGTCTCTGGCATTCGTTTTGTAAACAAAAGAGGTAAAAAATTAATAGTAAAAGAGAGCAGAAGGAACAGCTTTGACGGCAAAGATGATTTATGCCCGCTTGAAGGCGATTTGTGTACAGTAGTGTGTTTTTGTTCAAGGAGTGATACTGATAACATATCTTCAGAGGAAGACTATGGTGTGGCTGATCTGTGTGTGGACAGATGTTTCTTTAAGGGAAACTGTAGCCAAGGTGCTGAAAGAATAAACAGAACGGACTCCATTTTTGGACATTTAATTATTATTCTTTTTTTTTTAAAAAGATTTATTAGGAATTTACATATGTGTTTAAAATGGAGGGTTGAGGAGATTTTTTTCTTCGCACAACCTGGTTCATCTACAGGCTCAGTATCTCAGTGTCCACATTGTGTGAAGTGCTCCGTATCACTTTGCTGCTGGTCCACGCAGACGCGTGTATGTGTGAAATCTGATCTTTAAATGGTCCATGTGCTCCTATGTGTCAGGGGCAGAGCAGCATTGTTTTGGAGCCATGGTTGGTGCTGTAATAGGTGCAGCAGATAAGATGTGAGGTGGGCGCTGCTGAGAAGAAAGCAACGCAATCACACACACACATGCAAGCACACACAGAGTACGTGCAATCCTGGGAATGCTGGACTAACTGCCAACAGTGTGACATCACACACTGAGTATCTGGGATGACGCCTGCATGAGAAATGACCAGATGGTTGCCCAGTGACCAGTGCGCACACACACACACCACAGTGAGGTGAGGTCACATAATTAAGCTAATCTATACGTGAAGTCAGAGCTAATATCACTCACACACACTCGTTTCCAGTCTGCTGCCGTGTGTGTGAGGTCATGCACCACGCAGGCTTTCAGTGAGCTCAGACTCCACAGGGACAGAGAATAAATCACACTTTTTTCCTGGACCGACTCACCTATCAGTCCTAGGATATTTAACCGGGACTACAGCTGTGCCTCTTGACAGTTCTTAAAGTCACACCGGGCACGGATTGAATGATTACGTCATGTGGAAGATTCACAGGAGTGACAAAGCCACAAACCATATGTCGGCTGTCGGTTTTCTTGCCTCCAAACTGCTCTCAGAAAACTTTAGTCAGCTGGAAACAAAAAAAAAAGCAAAAATCAACTTCTGGTTAACTCATCACGCTGCTTATTGAACATCCGAGGAGAGAAAGTCATTAACTCAGCAGCTAAAAAGTCAGATATGTTCTCCAAAGAGGTGGTGCAGACCCAAACAGAGCAAAAATGGAAGTGAATATAGAATATGGATGAATGTGGACAGATTAATGATCTGTTTCTTCATGTCTGCTGACTGCCCATAATGTGAGCCAAATTTCAAAACACAGTTAATTTTTACCCCAATTTTTACACCTCGTCAACTAATCACCATTATTACTCATCATATTTTTTGAGCTTGTATATGAATATGAACAACAAGAGCTTAAAAAAAAGGTTTTGGAATTACAAAAGAAACATACAACAAGGGAAGTGTAACTGATTTCAATTCGACTCCTCAAAGCACTTCACACAACACCCATCATTCACAAAAGCACTTTCTGTCTAACAGACAACTTGAGGTTTTAGTATGTTGCCCAAGGGTACTTCAGCATGCAGAGGCCAAGAGTTGGACCACAAACCTACAGCCAACCCAAGCTTATAACACTTGGCATTCCTAATCAGTCTCCCATCCAAGTACTAACCAGGCCCAACCCTGCTTAGCTTTCAAGTTCAGAAGAGGGCATGCTCAGTTTGGTAAGCATGCAGCACAGATGCTAGCTCAGATTCATTTAACCATGGAAAACAGATGATCCTCTGAACTGTAATAATTAAGGTGCTTATGCATCTTTTGTCTCTACTCAATCCATTAAATCGACAATAAAATCCATGTTTGCCCAGAATGTGTGGAATAGAAGGTGTGTCATGCTGTTGAAGCAAAAGCAGAGATTCTGATGTCTAAAAATGGATTTTGGTGAATACACACAACTGCAGATCCCTCACTCAAATGAGTGTGTGTAGCCCATCCCTAATGAAGCACCACCTGCAGGTACTCCAGTGATGAACAGCACACGGTTCTCAGACTGGTGGGTTTATTCACACAGGAAGTATTGAAGATGAAAATCTGTGAACGTTAACTGTGTGAGATATATGTACTTTGCACAGTTAATTGTAGCTTCCCGATTCATCATTTGTGCTCTAACATCCTTTCATCGTCTTGGCCGTGGGTTTAGGTGGAGCTGGAAATATCAAGACTCTTGACGATTCGTACCAGTTCACAGTTGACGTGCGAGATTTCTCCCCTGAAGACATCATCGTCACCACATCCAACAACCAGATAGAAGTCCGTGCGGAAAAGGTGGGTGGGAGGTGTTGAAACAAAAGGGGTTAATGTGAGCCAAATAAACCCTAACCAAGCATCCATCTCCACAATACATCGCATGAATCTCTAAAGCTTTCTGTTTTGGCAGTTGGCCCAGGACGGTTCAGTGATGAACACTTTCACCCACAAGTGCCAGCTACCCGAGGACGTGGATCCCACCTCAGTGACATCATCATTGGGCACCGAGGGGACCCTCACGGTCCGGGCACGGCGAAATCCAGCCAAGCATGAGCTCGTACAGACCTTCCGCACCGAGATCAAAATCTAGAGATGGTCCGATCCGTCACTTCCTGTGATTTCATACCATTTCCTGTGCTTCTTATCCTCACTGTCATCATTCAGTTTTACTTCAAACACTCAGAGAGCTGACACTGTGCTCTGTGTGACACAATGCCACTCTGTTGCTGCTCATTTATGTGTGTGAGTTAGCTCATCCCGCACATACACAACGGGACATACACATTAATTTAAGGAGACACAAGGGCTTGGAGCACCATTTTGCACAAAGATGTAGACACACAACCCATCAGTTAACTTCTCCCCTACCCCTCCCAGTGTTATTCTAAAACTTACCAGTCACTTCTAAAGATGATAAGTTATTGTATAATATTATTTGTGTGAATAAAATGATACTGCTTTGACAATAAGCCATCCTGCTCTGTAGAATGCTTTTTATGAACTTCTGATTTTACAAATTATTGACAGGAAATACGAGTTGGCAGTTTAAGAGATTTATTTGTTTATTTATTCGTATTGTTTCAGTTTTGACAGAACTGGAGAAATTTTCTGTGGAGACTTATCACCATCCTTGGTATGACTTGCCTTAAACCACTGTTTTGTTAACCATCCTTGGAATAAAAATCTGCGTAAACCTTGAGCACCACAAGGCAAACTACCCTTGAAATCAATATGAAACGGATTTCGCATTCAGTAGGTGCACAGAGGTGTATACACAAAGGTGCTTCTATTCAGTCTTTTGTGCGTGGGAGCATTATGAACCATCCTGTCCTCCTTTCAGGAGAATAGGGTTTCAAAGGAGGTATTCTCCAATATAATTTGGAAGTCATTGTTGTTTATAATTTCCTCCACTGTACGTGAGCTATGCAGTGGCTTTTTCCTTAGAAACATACAGGAGCATTACTTTTATCCTTGTATTAATATACTTTTTGTATCGCAGAAAATTAATTTCTCCTTGTTCCTTCAGTTTTCCGATGATTTAAGACAAGGACCTCTTCTGATTGTGTAAAATAAAGCCTAAAGATATAGCTCATTTTAGCACGCAGGGATTCAGTTTGAAATTTGTGATTATTAAGTTAGACTTAGAGCGTTTATTTACACACTACACGTGCCTGTAATGACAAACTATTCTATTACAAATCCATTTTAGCTCCACTGTGTTATGAAGGTATCAGCTTTGCACATTATGTAACTTGGGTGTATCGCGACACCGCGTGGCCTCTGTCGGCAAAACATTGGTTCCCACTGCGCGTGCTCCAGCGATACATCCGGCCGGTCCCTATCAATCGATCAGAGAGAGGAAGATGGCGTTGGATGGAGTGAGCGGGGTATGATCGATCACCGAAAAACTCGATTGGGTTCGTTTTTCCCAACTGAGCCAAAAACTCCGTAAGACCGCTTGGACCAGCAGTTTCAAGCCCGAGTGAAGACGAGATAACAAGGAGGTAAATCGGAAGTTGGTTTCTGTTAAAATGGCGCTTCTTAAAAAACCGAAAAGAACAGGCTAGCTGTGGAAACAACAAGAGGGGAGGCCGGACTCGCAGCTCCGCCATCTTGTTCCCTCACCACACGCATGTAGGCATGCTAAATTAATCCCTGATAACAAAGCTGCAAGGATTGAGGAATTGCAATCGATATATTGCACCGTCAAACCACGCTGTCAAATCTTGTGGAGAAACTGACGTTCAAGTTAAAAAAAAAAAAAAAGAGAGAGAATTAAAAATAGCTGCACAGCCAGCGGGACACGAGATTACGCTTCATCCTTGCGTTACTGTCGTATCTCGCGGTTTAGTTGGCCTTTAGCGTCTTTCGCGTTGCATTTCGGATTTAAGCTAGCAGTAATTTTGAGTGGTTGATTTTCAAAACGCCGTTTTTGTCCTTAAAAACACACACACGCAACATGTTTGTGAAGTTTGGTTCATAGGTTGCGTCCCATGGGACAATTGTGAGTCTGGAGGAGATGTCATTATCTAACATAACAACTGAAACAAAGTACTTAGACATTACAAGTGGCAGCGTTGCTATAATTATTATAGTTTTATTACTGTTATTATTAATAATAATTTAGTTTAGTTTTTATTGGTTTCAGTTTTCATTTTGCTATTGGTTATTACTTATGCCAAATGCCAGAGCCAAAATTTGACCCCATCAACCAGTTTGTGCCAAAATTCTAACAGATTAACACATACCATATTTATTTGTTTCCTCTGTTATTTTCCAAATTCCAAAAATAGTTTTAGTTAGTTTACCCTTTTTCATGGTCTAGGTTTTATTTTTATTTATCTAACTAGAATATTTTCCAAAGCTAGTTTTAGCTTTTGTTTAGTTTTAGTTAACTATGATAGCCGTGGTTATAGTCCAAAGGAAGACACAAATTAGTGTGAGGAATACAATTGCTGTTATTAAAACTGCTTGTGAAACAACACATACACAGTTAAGAAACTGATTTAGCTTGTTGGACTCTGTGCTGATACATTGTAAAAGGGGTAATTGTGAAATTAAAATGAACACAACTTTCCATTTTTAAATAAGGATAATAAATAATGTAATAGTGTAATGTGACATATAGTCTAGACACAGAATTTATACTTCATTATAGCTCATTATATCTTATTTCTGTTGACTTATATTAATTTGTAATGTATAGGTTTAGTTTTAAGGCTGATACATCTATTTTTCTGAAAGCAATCATCCCCTAATATTGACTGACCGCAGTCAGTCAATAATAAAACTACTATGCTGTCGGAGGATGCATAATTATATCAGAGGTGAACAATGCAGACACAGATTTAACCTGACCATCACAGCCTTTTCAAGCTTCCTCGTGCTCCACATTTCATCCGTTTTATCCACAGAGCTTGTCCTTCAGGACGATGGAGTTCCCGTGGCACAGTGGGAAAGTTCTGGAGCAACTTAACCGGCAGCGCAAGCAGGGCCTGCTGTGTGACTGCACCTTTGTCGTGGACGGTGTGGACTTCAAGGCCCACAAGGCTGTGCTGGCTGCCTGCAGCGTGTACTTCCGCACCCTCTTTCTGGACCAGAAGGATGTGGTACATCTGGACATTAGCAATGCAGCAGGTCGGTCCCCGTCAGGTTATGTGCTCTACCCTATCTCTGCCTCGTCTCTGCTGTCTAACTGGATGTGTTGTTTTGATGAATGTCGTTTCAGGCTTGGGTCAGGTCCTGGATTTTATGTACACTGCAAAGCTGACTTTAAATCTGCAGAATGTAGAAGACGTGCTGTCAGTAGCTCACTTTTTACAGATGCAAGAAATCGTGAATGCGTGTTCTGCGTACCAGTCGTTGTCAAATCCAGCCCCGTCCGTCATAACACTGGATTTTGCTGTCGGTGAGTCAGGTCCTCGGTGAATACTCATGTCTGTACCCTTTTTTTTCTTTATTTCAGATAAATTGTCATTGCCCTCAGCTAATCTGTCCATGCCTTGATTCTTCAAATGAATCATCAGGTTGCTTTGTATTAAATTTGTCAACCAATTTTACCGTCACTTTTCATAGCATGGTGACAAACGTGTATTTCTGCTGTGTCCATGTTTGGCAGTAGTCCTAACAGATGCTGCTCTACATTAAAAAAGATAAATGAAAAGTAATTAATACATATTTACCCGATTGTTGTTTTGTTGAGCTCATAACATGGTTCTTTATCTGTTCTTATTGGCATTCAGTTTGTTGAAAATGGAACACAGTCGTCATTGATTCTGCATTCTAATGTGTGAAATGTTGCTCCTGATAATTTCGATTTGATTTGATTTTAATTCTGTCTTTAACACACCAGATGAAAAAACAGGTGAAGGAGAGCAGAAAGAGGAAACTGACAGTCAGCTGTCAGATTTGGCATCACAAGCCGAGGAGTGCCCTCGTAGCATTCCCACAGAGGATAAAGAGACCATTCAAAGTCAGGACATTTTAGAGGAAGAGCTTTCTGCCAAAACACAGAAGCCTGTTTCTCAGCCGAAACCCACTAGAACCCACACAAGCCGCGGACGACCCCCAAAAACGTCCCACCTTCTGACTCAAAAGAAGACGTCTGTCAAGAACAAGGAAGAAAGTGGTGCATTAGACGCACCCGCCTTCCAGGACGACACCGCTGATGCCGACTACATACTGAGTAAATACATATTCATAGAAAGTCTTTTCAGTTATTTAATTATGATGTATGCTAGCATGTTTAAAGTTTGAAAGGATCCACATGATGCTAGTAGCTTTTTATTTGATGGCATTTGATATCTTGATATATTATTTTATCCATTATTAATGTTTTTAAGAAACGATAGGTTATATAAATAAATACATACATGTTTAAAATCAAGAGTTAAATTCAATGGAAAGAACACAAATGATTGTGATGGCTTAACAAAGAAGTGTTTTCGTTTTTTATTTTATTGTTTTTATTAGAATCACCGTTAAAATCTGCTGGCAGTTCGCCTTATATGAGCTCCCGCGGGAGGAGAATCAGAAAACCACCTCGACGAAACTTCCCACCTGGTGAGCGCTCTGTCCTGAAGGAACTTATGCAATGCCCCTTTCGTTTAAGCTTCCCACTGGACAAACTCTGTGCAGAGGCAGGAAAAGCGAAGTCATTTAAAACCACCTCTAGATTCAGGTTGATTAGTGCTCGAATGAGTGTTGTTTTCCGCATTTTCACATTCCGTTTAAAATGCCAGAAATGTGATAAAAACATGTATATTTCTTCAGCACCTTTCAAACACGCAGTCATTTCACATTAATCGAATAGGATTTAGAGCATTTGCTTCGTATTAGAATAAACACATTTCTTTAAAGGTTGCAGCAAATCTGCTTCTTGTATTTGTTTCATTGCTGATGGTGCTAGTTGTTGCCCCAGTTGTAGCTGGTATGTCTGGAAGACGCAGTGGGGAACATTAACGCAAGAGTGACCTCTGTCTGATGAAGCCAGCAATCCCATATCTCAAAAAGTCATTGCTATTTCCCGTCAAAGCTGTAGACAGTTTGTCATTTTCAGAGCTTTTCTGCTCTTGTTCTCCCAGACAATGACTCAGAGGATGAAGCCCCATCACAGGCAAAAACTGATAATAAGGTGGCAGAGCCAGCAGGGGTGGCTGAAGGGCAAGAAGAACACTCTTTGGAGACCAGCGATGTGGAGGCTGATGATAATGATGATAACGAGGATGGAGAGGAGGATGACGAGATAAGTCAGCAAATGGAAGGAGACAGCCCAAGCAGCGAGAGAGACGGAAGACAAGCTCAGTCAGCGTGCATGAGCAGCCGATCTGAATCAAAGCCTTACAGCTCCGTGACACACAAATGTGAGGTGAGGGATTTGTGGGACGGCCTAAGTTGCGCTGTGCCTGCTTTTCCTGCTCTGGTCTGCAGGCTCTGAAGATATAAATGTCAATGCTGGGAGCTTTCATGA